GAGCCTGCCAACACCAACTTTTGTATGCCCGTTTGACATGCTTGTCCCCAATGTACCGCCACGTACCGAAGTGAACTTCAAATTTCACAATCCTCTCACTGATGAAAAGTTTCTGACACGGTTGAAAATGAAGCGCGGATGACTGGTTCATGTGTTTCAGTAGAGAGGACATGCAGTTAAGGTCCCCGTAGGATGCGACCATCTCCTCTGTAACAGACACACTCAAGAAGGCAAGCAGCGTCTTGAACATATTTCCATGTCATCACCGACGGCATAAAGATGCCCGAAAACACGTGTCGTTGACTCCAATAACATTGCAAGTGCGGGACTCGGACAATTCCTATGCATACCAAAAGTCCGATGAACTTGCACATCTCTTTCTCGATGACCTCGTTCCAGCATACGTCCCGCTCTCCGTGCAATGGCTTTTCGAAAATATGCATTTGTGCGTACTCGTTTGTGTAGTTTCATATCTCTCGGATGACTTCGGTGGTGAAAAACAACATGAAGATATCGACGGCTCTGACAATCCCCCGTGGAGCACCCAAGAGCACGAGGTCAAGGTCCATTCCGGGCCGTCTTCGCGGAGAGAACTCGACCCTTTGCGCAGCCGGCGTCAGATGGTCCTGCCCAAGCGATGTCGACACCCTGCAGATAAGAGTTGTGACCTTTAGAATACGTCGAATATGCTTACATCAATGCTCAGCATCATCGAGGCGATCATTTATCCTTTAAAGGGTCAATATAATAATGCCCCCACCTCCCTTACGTAATACCTCTGTTGGGGTATTACGTAAGGGGGGAGCATACATAAGAAAAGGGAACGTTCAAACAGTTATGTATTAAAGAAATGCATTAAAAGTAGCATTTAGAAATGAACGAGATGAAATTGCAAAACAGTCAAAATACATGTACTCTAAAAGAAATTTTCCCGGCTGTGGCGGCTGCATTTCCGATGGAGGCAGAAATGTTGTAGGCCCGTGTACTCAAATTTGGGTGCACGTTAAAGAACCCCAGGTGGTCTAAATTTCCGGAGCCCTCCACTACGGCGTCTCTCATAATCATATGGTGGTTTTGGGACGTTAAACCCCACAAATCAATCAATCTAAAAGAAATTTTAAAAACTCAATCATTGACAACTTTTCTTGACAGCGCTGTGGAAGCTAGAAAACCGAAGCAGACGCCTGCTAATGCGTCATATATTGCACTCAGGTTTACAGTGATAGCTTTCTTATTTGCCCTACTGAAATAAGTGCTGCTTTATTTGTTGTGAGAATGAAATGTTTGCGGGGGGATGTTAATAAAACACACTTACAGTTAAATCTATAAGAATGTCCCCCTTTTCTTTCTGTGTTCTAGGTAGCACAACCTATCGAGAGCGCCCACTTTCCAAAATAAACATGACGTCCACGACGTAGTGGGTAAGCGCCTGTGGCTAAACACGCTGCTTACTTTTCCATGCAAATTATACTCATCATATGACACTAAAATTTACACTAAACCCTCCAAGTATTTCACCTTATTCACATTTTCCATGTATATTATTTTCTAGACATACTGGCGATGCGAGAGAGCAACACAGAAGTCAACTACAAGCTGGCATACTACGTGTGGAAGCTCTGTTTCCATAGCCTCCGCTCCACTAACAAGATAAGTTGCCACGAAGTATAGCGCATTGCAAAACTTGATAGAATCACGTTTAGTTATTACAAGGTCAGGTACACTATTCCGTTCTGCAATGGCTATTGGCAAGAAAGAGTTGGAACAAATTGGTAGAGCCATGAATTCTTTGACGAATGAGAGAGATTGACAGGCAGCATGAGGTGGGGCTTTGTGGAAAAATAAGCGTATCATATAAATGTAGGAAATTGCATTAGAGACTATGGACGAGGCATGAGAGAGAGATTTTTCAATAAAGTACTAACGATTTTATGCCGAAGAATGATTTGATGTTTACGAAACTTAGCTGATGGTCATACTGGGACATAATGAACTGGGCTGTGTGGTTTCAGAGAGCTTCGAGTAGCTGGACAAGGCACGCGTGATCAGAATTCTATATTGCCAAGGCAAACTTTAGTCTAGTACGGATAAACGTCTCATGCTAGTTTACGAATCTGCAATGAAATAAACCGATGAGAAAGAAAACTTACCGGGAAATATCTGCCGATGTTCTGTGGCCGTTCGATTCACTTTCGCTGTCCGTACTAAAGCTGGATGAATCAAAGTCGTCTTCAGTGTCCGTGGAGCAACCGTCATCCGGCGATTCCAGCTCGGAGTCATCAGACTTCGTCGAAATTCAACGTTTTTGTGGAGCACCCGCGAGCGGCGCCATTGGCATAAAGCTAACCACGAACGGTCGTTGCCTCGACTGCGCAGGCGCTTTGAAAAGCAGAGAAATAAAAAAAACCTCAGAAGCAATACTATAGCCTTTCAATTTTCCTAGTCACAAAACTCTTGAAACTCTTTTGAACTTGAAACTCTCTTCAAGAGTGAGGCATTCGACATCTTGCCAAGCCTCACTCTTGAAAAGAATGCGCCGCAGCGTGGCGTCAGGATGGGTTGTCTCGGCATGTTAGAAGCCTTTGCTGTGGCCTGCTTGCTGCGCGTTCCTTGCTCTCAGCGCCGACCAGCCGCCCACATCCGCGTCAAAAAATAGTTGCACTGTTATAGACTGCAATTGCGCGCATGCGAGCTCAATTCATTGAAGGCGCTGTAGCGCAATGAAAAGGCTTTCCGTGATGTGGGCTCTCGCCTGTCCCACCAGGCGGCAGGCTTAGACTTACAAGCTTGGCAGATTTTAGTCACCGCAACTGTTCTCACAAGCCAGTACACAAACTTGGTTCCATGAGAACTGCCCTCGGTTCAGCTCATGAGCGCGGTCCCGTTTGCGGCCATCTCATGTTTTCCAAGGCAAAATTTCTAGGGCGGGGTGCGAATTGAGTTATGTATTCGCAGGCTAGACCTCACGAGCACAAACCGTGCAATCGCCTTATCAGCAGCCGCCGATGTGCGGTTTCGTGCAGAGTCAACGAAACGCTCTGCAGTGGTTACGTTTTGAAAAGGTAGACATATGAAAACAACTTTCCCATTCTGAAAACAACGACGTGCATCGTTTATGAAAACGAAGACGTGCATGGTGCATGAGCAACATTCAAGTTGTGGTTTGCGGTCGTCAATGCGTCGGACATCACGCCTAAGGCAAGTGGAAATTCGGTTGCCGTTATGCGGGGAAAAGCAGTGCGTGAGCAGTTCTGAAAAGTTACCGTATTTACTCGCATAATCCTCCCACTTTGTTGCCAGAAAACTGATGCAAAGTGGGGGGTGCGAGAATTACGCGGGGAAAACTTTCCACGAAAACGTACAGAGGGAAAAAGAAAATGAAGTGGCCGCAAATCGGGATTCTCACACCAGCAACTTACAGCAAGCTTTAAGAAGTACTAATTAGAATTTACCTCAACAATAAAAGCAGAGGTTCAACACAAGGCAATATTCATTTGAGACACAAAAAGTGCAAGCAAATAGTCGAGAATTAGAATACCATACGCAAAACTTGTGGGCGTTGCGGGCATAACGGTAGCGTTCGTCGCTCAACAGGGGCCCTCAAAAGGAAAGCGTAGGACGTCAGTATTTGGCTGTTGGATATTTAACAGAATCGTACGCAGTTTCCTTCTAAAGAAATAAAGTTTACCATCAATCCCAGTTTTAGGCCCATGGTAGGCCCAACGCGTCTTGGTGGCTTTTAGCTGCCGTCATCAGTAGCGAACACAAAACTCGTATGCTCCGAAAGGCCTGCCGGCGGCCCTGTTGCCGTTGTTTTGTGCATGATCAATCACTTTCAACTTGAAAGCAGCCCTGTAGCTTCAGTATCATCCCATAACGTGCCAAGATTACCGACACAGCAGACAAAACACGCCGCAACGCACACTGGCCCTTTCCGCTTGCCTTGAATTGGATTGAATCTGCGTAGAATAGTACGCCTGATGCTTAAGAGATGGCACCAGATGGCTCGCGCTATCATCATCATTGGCTGGAACAAGCAGACGACATTATTGCGGCAACTTTCGGGGGTGCGATAATTGCTCGAGGAAAAAAGAAATCGTATTTTTCTTGGGCGATGTGGGGGGTGCGAGAATTATGCAAGTGCGAGGATTACGCGAGTAAATACGGTAGTTGGCGACTTTCTGCGCCAGTGCTTTTTTCCCCCCGTTCGTTTTGTCGGCACAACAGGCCCCCGAACGTTAAATTTTCAGTATTTGCAAACTTAAGGGGATGAGAATTCACATATCTGCCCCACGAGTCAATTTTCAGAATGACGTGGCTGCTGGTCCAACAAATCTTGCACATTTGCAGTCTTTGGAAAAAGATGTTTTGCTTGTGTGTTCTTTTGGCGACGCACATTATGTAAGCGGTTCATGGTGTTATAGAAAGGAAATCCAATCACAACCACACAAGCGCATGTTTTCCTTAATCTAAGGTACTTGTACTCACAGTCACGGTAGCGTGGTGTGTGCACATGAGAATAGACGCACGGTAGCGCTTTTCGACCCCGAGAAAGTGTAGTGTAGCTTACAAAATATGAAAACACTTCATTTGGCGCATCTTTGGTGAAGAAGAGTGGAAACGTAGCAGGATTGGTCTTTCGGCACAGTTTGGCGCAATTCGATGCAGCTGTCACATAACTGCAGTGTTAACAACATGCTGTTCTAGAAAATTATCATGGTGCTGAACTGCTGACATGAAAGGTCTGGGATTGAATCCCAGCCACTTTGGCTGCATTTCCGAACGAGGCAAAATGCTCAAAGCCCATGTACTTAGATTTACCAGCATGTCAAAAAAACTTGAAATTGTCGAAATTTGCAAATCCCGCCACTGTGACATCCCTCCATCATATTGTGGTACGAAATGTTAAACCCCTGCAGTTATTACAGATCTTTAAGTCCCATAGTTATTACTATAATATTCATATGTAAGACAATAATAACAAAAAGGTGGCAACGTACAGACAGTCCGCTTTTCTGGCTCCACGGTCTGCGTGAAGACGGTGCGTGTCGGCATGTTCGTGCACGTGGACTTGTCAGACCTCTCCTTGGCCTCGCCGTTGATGCACTTTGGGCAGTGCACGACGTCCTCGGCGAAGCACTCCTGGGCACTGGTGCTCGAGACCGACTGCACGTTTGAAATCACAATGCCCGTCTCACCAATCAGGACCCCGCTGTTGCTAGCCGCGAATGCCGTCGAGCCCGTTGCCACCGACGAAGAAGGCTCACTCACGAGTCCAGGCTGGCATCAGGGCGACGGAAACCGGGTTGCTCCCGACGCCTGCTTGGCAGCCCTGATCGTGTGAAATGCCGTTTGTCAAGACATCGAGTGGCTCCGTTTTGACTCGCACCGCAGACGTAGACGGAACAAACGAAGGCGTGACCCCGTCTTCGGTCTTGATTTCCTCCACCGGGATCTCGCCGAACTCCTGAATCTTGAAGGCGCACGAGGACGTGTCCTCGTGAGCGACTACTCCACAGCCGGAACCAGGCGGGGGAGCTGCGATTTCAACGCCTTCTTCGTCTTCCTCGTCACGAACCTCTTCTTTGACAGTGTAAGAGGTGACAAGCTGCAGAAAGTTACTGTCCTCGCCATTCTGGGCAGAGTCATCGCCGTGAATTTCCTGCGTCGAGGAGGATGTAAGACCTTCAGTCGAATCGTCTTCAATCTCTCTCTTGATTGCATGAGCAGGGATGAGGCCCGGCTGGTCAACGTCCATGCTCGATTCGTCGTTCTGCACAAGAAAAAAAAAGATGATGATTAGTGGAGTTTATTGGCACAAGGTCCAGATGTGGCCAAAGAGCGCCAGAGCGATGATAATGACCTGTGCGATATGCAGTATGGATAAAACAGATGTGACGTGGCAGTAAATGGGCCTAAAAACAGTCGCTGTAGGTGCGTAAAATATACATATAGTTAAATTATGGCAATGACAAATGATGTGTGCTAAGAAGACATAAAATGCTTTAAAAATGATACATATATGAAATAAAAACTTGGCTTAGGAGCACCAGTGCCTCGGCAGAGCCCATAAAACGAACATGGACGCCAGGGTTTATTGAAAGCTGCTATCACAGCGGCATCCTCTAGACAAAGGATGTGTTATGAACTTGTTGGGCTAAAAACATTCAATACATCTTTTAGAAAGCCAAGGGGACTGATTTTGCATCGAAAAGCGGCTCTTCGCCGAGTAACCTAGTAGGATCTAGAGGAAGATGTTTGCGGTATGCTAAAGCAAAATATTTCTTTCTCTCTCTTTCAGCTGCTGGACACTCCAGGAGGACGTGGAGGACGGTTAGCCTGTCGCCACATGTACCACAAGTAGGAGGTTCATCGCCAGTCACAAGAAAGCTACGGGTACCATATCTGTGTCCTGTTTTGAGGCGACAGAATATGACATCAGTTCGCCGTGTTCTTGTAGCAAAGGGCCAGTAACCCAACCGCGGCTTAATCAAGTGAAGCTTATTATTTATCTCTGTGTCCTACAAGCGTTGCCAGTGGCTTCGCAGTTTCTTGCGTAGGAAGGATTTTAGATCTGTTGCAGGAACAGTAGCGGTAGGGTTAATAGCGCGCAATATAATTGACGTGGCCATTTGGTCAGCTAACACATTGCCCTCAATGCTTCTATGGCCAGGTACCCAGCAAATAGTAACGTGCTGGTTGGACATATACACTGTACACAGAACGGAATACAGCTAAATTATTATCGGATTTCTGAATCTGAAAAGGGATCTTAATGCATTTACGACGCTTAACGAGTCTGTGAACATAATTTATTTTTGTATATTTGATTTCCGTATATACTTCACAGCCGACAATAGTGCATAACCATCAGCTGTAAATATACTTGTTTCCGGGTGCAGTACACCGGATTTTGAGAAGCATGGTCCGACGACTGGATAAGCCACCCTACATGTGACTTAGAAGCGTCGGTATAAAACTCTACGCATGAGTAGTTGGATTGGAGTTGTCGGAAATGCATTTTAATATGTGCTTCTGGTGCGTGTTTAGTGATCTCGGCAAATGAAGTGTCACAATGTATAAGCTGCCACTGCCACGGCGGTAAATGTTGCGGAACACCCATTTCCTCACTTAAGTTTCGCACACACAAAGAGAACGGCTTTCTTGCTGCGGGTCGATTATGGAAGAGGGCGGCAGCGGTCATATCGTTTATAGCTGATTAAGAAGGATGCTTTATGTTTGCGCGTACCTTTATAAAATAAGTGAAACTGCTATAGGATCGCTGCAGGTGAAGTGACCACTGATTCGACTCTACATAGAGACTCTGGATCGGACTTGTCCTGAAAGCACCGGTTGCAAGTCGGATACCCATAAACGGGGTCTAGGATTTTCAAAGCACTTGGCGTTGCGGAATGATAAATTATAGAGGCATAATCAAGGCGTGACCAGACAAGGCTTTTGTACAAGTTCAAGAGACACTTTCGATCACTACCCCATGCTGTACGTGATAGGAGCTTTAGGAGGTTCATCGCTTTCAGACATTTCATTTTTACATATTTAATATGGGGAATAAAGATGAGCTTAGAATCTAAAGTGGTTCCCAGAAATTTATGGTCGCTGCTCACAGAGAGTTGGTCTCCAGTTGATCGCAATTTTTGGTAGTGGCATTACCCCTCGTTTGTTGGAGAAGAGTATGCAAGTACTTTTCTGGGTGTTTATTTTAAAACAATTCTCATCCGCCCATTTAGAGAATTTATTCATTCCAAGCTGCACTTGTCGTTCGCAGATAGATATATTGCATGATTTGAAACTCATCTGCACATCATCAACATACACGGAATAAAACATCGCGCTTGGAATTACTGACTGCAGGGAGTTCATTTTTACAAGAAAGAGTGTGCAACTAAGCACGCCCCCTTGCGGAACACCAGTCTCTTGGGTAAATGATCTAGAGAGAGCATTTCCTACTTTTACGCGAAAGGTTCGGTTAGACAGATAACTTTTAATTGTGTTTAGCATGTTCCCATGAATGCCCATGGCGGCAAGATCGCGTGGAATCCCGAATCGCCATGTGGTATCGTACACTTTCTCCAGGTCTAAGAATACCGAAAGTACAAACTGCCCATGAATAAATGCATCTCTGATATATGTCTCTATACGAACAAGGTGGTCTTTGTCGACCTCCCCTTTCTGAAACCACACTGAAGGGGGTCTAGTATACTGTTACATTCTAGGAAGTGGATTAAGCGCCGGTTTAACATTTTCTCATATAGCTTGCATAGACAGCTTGTTAACGCTATTGGCCTGTAGCTGGCGGCCAAGGACGGGTCTTTGCCTTGTTTAAGTACCGGGATGACTATCGCTTCTTTCCATGACAAGGGAATATACCCAGCTTCCCACATGGTATTGAAGAGGGTCAGGAGTGTTTTTAGTGCTTCAGAGTGAAGATACTTGATCATTTCGTACATTATACGATTGCCACCTGGGGCCGAGTTGTTGCAGTACGCAAGAGATGCCTTAAGTTCAGCTAATGTGACAGGGCAGTTGTAAGTCTCACTGGATGGACGTTTACATTTAAGGGGTTGCCGCTCTTAGCATTCTTTGAATATTAAGAACGTTCTGTATAGTGTGATGCACTTGAGACATATTCAAAGTGTTCGCCTAGGCAGTCCGCCTACTCCTCCAGGCTCTCCCCTCGGCTACATACCAAGGGTAGGGGGTGTGACTCGTGTGACTCCTGACCCATTAACTTGTTCACCCTATTCCAAACCTTCGTTTCGTCGGTGTAAGAATTTATACCGGAGATGTACCTATTCCAACTTTCTTTCTTTGCAAGGCGACGCGTTCTTTTGGCTTGGGACTTAACCTGTTTGAAATTGACGAGGTTTCCAGCCGTTGGATAATTTCGGAGTAGTCTCCAAGCTTTATTTTGTCTGTTGCGCGCTTTCCGACAATCGTCGTTCCACCATGGGATGCGATGTTTATTGGTCATTCCGTTAGTTTGCTTAATACATTTCACTGCAGCGTCAATAATAAAAACTGTTAGGTATGCTACAGCATCGTCTATATTAAAATCAGCAATGTCATCTCCGTTTAAAAATGCAATTTCTCGGAACAGTTCCCAGTTGGCTGACTTGGTTTTCCAACGAGGAAAGTCAGGCGAGCATGTATCTTCTTTTGTTAACTTCAACATAATCGGGAATCGGTCACTCCCAAAAGGGCTCTTGAGAACGAACCACTCCAGATATGGAATTAATGTACTCGAGACAATACTCAGGTCTATAGAAGAGTATGTGTTGTGTGTAGTGCTATAATATGTTAGTTCTTTTTTGTTTAGTATGCATGCACCTGACGAGAACAGAAAGTGTTCTATTAGGCGTCCTCGCGCATCTAAACGGGAGTCGCCCCATAGGAGATTATGTGCATTTGGATCACCAACAACTATATATGGCGGAGGAAGTTCATCAATGAAGCTTTGAAATTGTTTCTTTGAAAGTTGATAGCACGGGGAATGTAAATAAAGGTAATTGTTAGTAGCTTCCCGAACAGCACTGCTCGGACAGCAACTGCCTCAAGGGAAGTTTGGAGGTTTAATTGCTTACAGGCAACACCTTTATCAACTATTATAGCGACACCGCCCGACGAAGCGGCAGCGTCGTCATGGTCTTTGGGGAAGATGACATATTGCTTCAGAAAAGTTTGTTTGTGTGGACTTGAGATGTGTTTCCTCAACACACAGCACCTTTGGAGTATGTTTATTAAGAAGTTCTCTAATATCATCGAGGTTATGTAGAAGTCCTCTCACATTCCACTGTAAGATCTGTGTGTCCATTTTAGATGTGTTTTGTGCTGTGTGCTCAAGGATGTAAAGTTAGCTCACGGACCCTTTCCAGGGGCCATGACACGAGATTTTTCTTTTTTGGATCGGTCGACAAAGTCGCGCCGATCCTTAAGCGCTGGCTGCGCCCTCATGCTCGGTGTTGTGTCCATTGCCTCTTAGCGAGGCGCTGCGTTTGTTTTGAGGGCCTTGCCTCAAAAGACTGAGACCTTCGCGGCACCCAGCCCGGAGGTTCGTGGGTCTTTCTTGGACTGGCGGAGCAGCACTGGCTGCAACCGCCGAGGGGGCGGATGGCGTCACCGCTGGCTCACTACGCGTGTGCCAGACCACCGCCGGGGGCCGTCGTGGCGCTGCCCCCTGACGCGCCACTTCGGCAAAGCTGGTTTCTGGTAGGCAGGACACCTGCCTTCGTGCCTCCTTAAATGAAATGTTTTGTTTTACTTCAATTGTGACAATTTCCTTTTCTTTTTTCCAGCATGGGCATGACCGTGAGTATGCCGCATGCTCCCCATTACAGTTCGCACAGTGCAGAGAGTTTTCACAGGCATCAAATGTGTGTTCTTCAGCACTGCATTTCGCGCAAGTTAGGTGGCCTCGGCAGTTCTGTGAGCTGTGGCCGAACCGCTGACATTAGAAACATCGTAGAGGGTTTGGTATATATGGCGTCACTCGAAGCTTGATGTACCCAGCTTCAACGGAGTCGGGCAGTACACTTGAATTGAAGGTAAGTATCAAGTGCTTAGTCTGGTCTTCTTTGCCATCACATCTCATCCTAATTCGTTTCGCGTTGACGACATTCTGTTCGCTGAAACCCTCCAGGAGCTCAGCCTCCGTCAGCCCTAACAGGTCATCATCTGAAACAACGCCCCGGGTGGTGTTCATGATTCGGTGTGGGGTTACTATTAATTTGGTATCTCCAAATTTCACTAGATTAG